TCAGGGCTGAAGTCCCCACTACACTCTGCGGTGCTTCCAGAACTCAGTGTGGGTATGGGCGGGGCCTGCTGTAGTGACAGCCTCTCCCTGGGGCCACCTCTGCTTTTGCCTTCGTCCTCTCTTTGCCATACAGTCAAAAATCAAACAAGAGGACACCTGAAGGGAGGATATTCCAGGAGCTTTAGGAGATGAGTGGGAGCTGATCATTATGAAAACTCAGTGCAAACACAGACATTAAGAGTGGCAGCTGGGAAGGGGAGAGGCAAGGAGTAGACCCTTGACAGTTGTGGAATCTTTGACTTACTGCATTGACTGATCTCCAGTGCAGTGTTGAATCATTAATATGATGGCGCATGCATCCTAGACCCTTGCTGAATTTAATAGGAATGCTCTATAATTTAACTGTTAAGAATGCTATTTGCTATGATCTAGGGATGATACGATTTTATAAGATTAAGGAACTTTACTTCCTCAGCCTTAGCTTTCTAAAGGAAAGTAATCCAAAGCCTTTTGAGATCTGGAAATTCAGAGTGCTTTGGAAATTACAGAGAGTTCAGAAGCATTGGTGATTATTATTCCTTGAGCTCTTAAAACCTAGGCCTGGGCCCTTCCTTCCTCTGTGCCCAGCTTGCATCCTCTGTGGTTTGTGGTTTCAGTTGTTGCCTTGACTGTCAAGATCCGCAATTATGAAGAGCACATGCAGAAACACCGAAAGGTAAACCTTGGCTATCACTCACAGCTCAACACCAGCAGCCAGGGAGAGGAGTCTGTGAGCTGAAGGGCTTGGGTGCCGAGGAGCAGGTTGAGAAGCCAGGCAGCTCCATCACCAGAGTGCCTACCCCTTAGATGCAGTGGGAAAGACATTTCCCACCTGCCTCCGGGGAGAAATGGGAGCCATAAAGGGCTATGCTGGGTGTCACCAGTGATCAAAAACACAAACTTTAGAGCATGGTCACAGTGTCTAGCATATAGTGGGTGCTCAGTAAATATTTCTTGAATGAATGAATGGGGTCAGGTTGCCCTGGGTTTAAATCCAAGCTCTGCCACTTCCACCTAAATAGCTGTGTGACTTTGGGGAAGTACTTTATGTGCCCGAGCCTTAGTTCTCCTGTCTATAAAATGGGGCTCATAATAGTACCTGCTGACAGGATTGCAAAGACTATATGAAATAATAATAGCAGCCAACATGATGCATATAAAGTATTTAGGCCTTATGCTAAATACATGCATCAGCTCATTTAACCCTTATAACCATAAGGGTTATAATCTTTCTATTCATTTTCCAAAGGAATAATCTAGGCATGAAGTGATAATTTATTCTTCAAGGCACACCACTAGGATATGATGTGCTAGGACTTAAAACTAGGTGGTCTTGCTCCACAGCCCATATTCTTAACCATTATGCCATATCTAAGCACAGTGCTGGGCACAGAGCTACTGTAATTAGGCAGTTGCTTGTATTTTTAATAAACACAGTTGTGAATACAGGTTGGTATGGCACCATGCCTGGCACTTCAGTGTTCACTGAAGCTGGTTGAGCCTGCTCCTTGGAGATCAGAGTTTTGTTCATTTGGAGTATGACACACCAGCCTCACTGCCAAGGTCCCTCACAGAATAGCACCTGGCTGTGGGCAGGGGTCTCCAGAGAGAGCACAGGGCCTTCCCTTCTCTTCACCCCAGCTGACAGTTTGCTAAGCTGTGAAGAGGCTGAGTGGGTAGTATAGGGGAAGGAGCCTGAGATTTGGAGTGAGACCCCTAGATCCAGATTCAAGACCTATCCTCACACAAGGCCCCTACCTAGCACAGGTATTGGCCCTTATATGAATCAGATACCATCTCTGAGCTTTTATTTCCCCATCTGTAAAATGGGAATAACAAGGGCAATACCTACCTCAGAGCTGCACTAATATTTACATAAGGTTGATGGGAGGTTTCCGTGAGATGATAAAATGACCATCCTTTGCTACTATGAGGTGGCACACCACTTATTTATATAACAACTAAGAGTACTACCAACTCTCTTACAGGACAAAGCCCACAAGCGCCGTCTGCTGATGAGCATCGACCAGAGGAACAAGATGCTCAAAAACCTCCGTAAGACCAACTATAATGTCTTTGAGAAGGCATGCAAGGAGCTGGGGATTGTGTACACCATTCCCCCTCTGCACATCCAAAAGAACCACCGCCGCTTCATGACCAAAAAGGCTCTGTGCATTCAAGTACGCATCAAAATTGCTGCTTTCGTTGGCCCTATCTGGGACTGAGAGCAGAGGGAGGGGTTCCCTCTGACTGAGGCGAGGTAGCTGCCAAGCCATCAACCCTGTGGAGAAAGGCTGGGGTGACCATCAAAGGGCAGTTCCCACGCCACCTGCTCCAAGTCTGAGGTTTCACATAGGATTACACCATCTTTCCTGCTCTCTTTCTTTCTTCCCTAGGTTTTCCAGGAGGTTCAAAAGCTGAAGAAGCAAAAAAGGGCCTTAAAAGCTGCGGCAGCAGCCCAGAAACAAGGTCTCCAGAACCCAGAGAGCCCTTCCAACCCAGACCAGAGGCAATGAAAGAAAACTAATAAATTTCGTTAAACTTGTATTTTTTGGTCTCGAAGAATAATGAGAGACGGTGGGGCTCTCTGTGTCGTTAGGAAGAGGAGGAATTCATTCTTCCACTCAATTCTAGGCTCCCAGGGTTATCTGAGGTAGATTCCCTGCCTTCGCACACACCAGAGGTCACATTCTCATAACACACCTCACACACACCCCCATAAACAGCTCCCTGTCGTCCAGGTGACATTTCAATGGAGGCAAGACTGAGCACACAGCGGCACAGGAGAAGGGTGGCGGGCTGGCTAACTGCTGGGTGAGAAGGCCAGCTATAGGAACTGCCCTCTAGACAGCACTGAAGGGCAAGAGTGCTAATTCATCAGGCAGAAATGGGGAGGGAAGGTATCCTGGGCAGAAGATACCAGAAGTGCAAAGGCGAAGAAGTTGACAGGTGCATGCTGTATTCAGAAAGCAGTGAGACCTGGAAATAGAGCTTGACAGGTAAGCTGAAGCTCGGGTGTGAGAGGCTTGATAATGCTGCCTGAGACTGCCCTGTCCTTTAGGGAGGCGGAGACCGGATTTTGAAACCAAAGGAGTGATAGCAATGAATCTGTTTTATTAAGCAGCAGCAGTATGGAGGGTAGACAGGAGGGGCATAAGCAAGACCAATTTATTGTTGTGGGGGCAGGGGTATTGATGTTCACATTAAGAATCTGATTAAAGATGAAGGTCCTATCCCTGAAAGACATATATAAAACATTGCTTATAAATTCTGGGAGGTAGAGATACCCCCTTCCCCACAAAGCATACCCATTTACATCAAGTTCAGTGCCAAGGTATTGAAGAGTGCTCACTTGAAGCCTGAGTATTCCTTTTTTTTTTAAACCACCACCATAGGAGATTGCCGTCATTCTTTCCTGAATCCACTTTACTCATGATTGGTTAGTTAGTCGTTCAATGAGGGTGTTTTTTAATTGGAGTAAAGTTGATACACAATATTCATTCATTTCAGATGTACAACAGTGACTCAGTAATTTTATACGTTGCTAGATGCTTGCCACTGTAAACATAGTTCTCCCTGTTACCATATCAAGATAATTACAAAATATTGGTTGTATTCTGTATGTTGTACTTCCATTCTACAACTAATTTATTTTACAATTTGCAGTTTGTACCTCCTTAACCCCTTCACCCATTTCACCCATCCCCCCAACCCAAAGTATTCTTGGCATGTTTGAAAAACCCAAGGAAGACTGTCTAAAACTGAGTGAGCAAGAGAAGACTAGGAAAAGATGAGGTCGGAGGGGTAAGCAGACACCAGATAATATAGAGCTCTCTGGGTGTATTAGCTCAGGCTGCCATAAAAAATAACCATAAACTGAGTGGCTTTACTCACAGTTCTGGAGGCTGGGAGTCGAAGATCAAGGTGCTGGCCAATCTGGTTTCTGGTGGGAATCATTCTGGCTTTTAGATGTCCATGGTCTGGGTCCTCACATGCAGAGTGAGAGAGGAATCTCTGCTCCTTTTCACATTAGGGCAACAATTCCACCATGGGGCCCTGCCTGCCCATGTGACCTAATCTAACTCTGATTACCTCCTAAATGACCCATCTCCAAATACCATCACATTGAAGAGCAGGGCTTCAACATAAAATCTGAGGGCACAAACGTTCAGTCATGACACGGGAAGAGACTTGGGACTTAATTCTGAGTGAGAAGGTGTCTTGCCAATGGGTTTCAGCCCTGGACAAGTTCACTCCGGATTCAATGAGGCGGAAAAATCACAGTGCAATGTTCTTGGGGTGAAAGGGTTTATCCCAAACTTCATTCCCTCGGTGGCAGGTCAATCACTAGATTCCCGTCCACTCAGAGTGAGTCGGCCTGCAGCACGCTGGACTCTGCCTCTGGGCCTCTCTGCCTCAGTAGCCATCTCAGTCTCCGTCCTCGGTGCTGCCACCACTTCATCTCTGCTTTCCTGCAGCCATGCAGCCAAGCTGCCCTGCTGCCATATAGCCCAGAGCACTGGGTGGAGCTCTTTATATAGAGTCAATAACAACGTTTTGCCACACGTGTGTAGTGAGCTAGCTGACCAGGGCCAGGTGAGAATCCTGGCCACAGGAACCTTCACTTTCTCCACAGAAGGAAAGCCAAAAAGGAAGAAAGATGAAGTAAAGTGATGTACAAAAAGTAGTTAGAAATTTAGATCCAGGACTCCAGAGAGGGCTGAGCTGGAGACAGATTTGGGAGTTCAGGTGGTAATTGAAGCCATGGGTATAAGTGAAGTTGCTCAGGGAGGGAGTGGAAATGAAGAAAAAGGGGCCATGTCAGGATGGGAAGGATGATCTTGGAATCAGTTTCTCCTAAATCGGGAGAAGGAGCCCAGGTTGAGGCTCAGGGGAAGTGAGGGTAGAACAGAAAGTCAGGGGTCCTGCGCAGTCAGAAGTGAGATGAGAGGCTCAGAACTGAAGATGAGCTGTTCAGGTATCACCTCTGGGAGCTGCAGGGAAGGCTTTGATGGGGCAGGACTTTGAGTGGATACAACTACTTAAGGATACTGTGCTGGTGGGCCAGCTGCCAACATTTAAGGGGGCTAGTGGAGAGGAAGGAGAGAAAATGAACATACATTAATGGAGTAGACCCTATGGAAAAGGCATTGTTTTAAGTGCTACCTTAGGCACATTATCTGTGTAATCTAAAGCCACCTTTACCAGACCCACCTCCCCACCCCACCCCCATGCATATTGGTTAATTACCTTCATTTTACCAGGAGAGTATTAAGCCTGAGAGAGGTTAGGTAACTTGTACGAATTCACACAGCTGGTTAGAGGCAGACTTAGGATTCAAACCCACATCGGTCTTGACTACAAAGCCCACGTTCTGTTCATTATACCACACTGACTAGGGGCAAAAAATATAGTCTGAGAAGCTATGGAAGGAATCCAAACTCCAGCAAACAAATGCCTCTAGCAACCAGGCAGGTAATAGAATACATGAAAGCCAGGTGTATGATAGTGCTGCTAAACAGCTTGCTACATTCCTATCATATTCACTTTTAAAACACTGCACAGACCAGGCAAAATCAAATCAAAGCCTTAGGCTGCCAGCCAACTACTGTAGCGTATCCAGTGCTGAGATGTCAGTTAAGGACCCAAAAGTCTTTGTGGTGAAGCAGTTTTAGTGGTGGGGTGAGAGCTGAATCCCTGTTGCAGTGAACTGTGGAGTGAGGATATTAAGAAAATTCACGTTATGAGTATAAACTACGCTTTTAAAACCTTGGCTGTGAGGGAAGGAAAATAGACTACCTAACGTGTGGAAAGGACTTGAGCTTGACATATGTCAAGGCAAGACTTTCAAGTGGTTGCCTTGGTTATGAGGTGATGCTCCATAGAGGGGACCACCCTGATGAGATGAGTTCAGCTGGACTGGGGGCAACGGGGGAATGAGATGCCTCTAGAAAGGTAAGTGGAGCCAAAATAGAAAGCATTGAATGCCACGTCAAGGCATTTAGATTGATGGGTCAAACAGTAGGGAACTACTAAAGAATGCGCAATTTAAATGGTATCTTCTCAAAGTTAGCCTAGCACCCAGTGCATGTGGAGGAAAGAGCAATAATGTGGAGGAACTGGTACTGCAGAACAGAAAAAGTGAAGAGGGAAATGTGAGAAAAATTTTGGAAGGAAAAGTAGAATTGGTGACCCAGGGAGATAGAATTGGAAGCCAAGGCTCAGGAGGGAAAGAACAGTAGGTTTTCGAAGTATTGAAATTTACAGAAATGGTTGCTCATCGAAGTGACAAGGTACAGCAGGTGACAGAAAGGTGATTCTGGAGATCAAGATGAGGGTGAAGTATGGGGTCCCTTCCCCCAAAGCACAGAAATGGATGAGAGGCCTGCTTAACAGTGTGAAGAAAGTAGCTTCAGAGAGCCTCCAGGTCGGATCCCCCAGGCATGGGACAGACACGCACAGGCCTGATTTGCTTCATGGAGTATGAAACCAGGTGGGGCTTCACTCCATGTAGCTTTTAGGGAGGAAATCAAGTAATTCAAGGATTTTTGGTCCTTCTCCCATCTAAAAGAAATGTCAGTTACCGTTTTAGGGAGTGCTTTCGTGGTATTTTACATCATCTCACTGATCACTCTCTGCAGCCCTGTGAGGTGCGTATGTCCTCCATTTTACGTAAAGTCCAGCCTCAAAACTCCTGCTCCTAAGTCACACCTAGGAAACAGCAGAGCCCTGGTTCAAACCCAGGTCTGTCTGCCCGGAGCCTGCTCTAATTTGCTCGGGTTTTCCTCGTTCATGGGCACGGAGGTACTGGGCTGGAGGTGGGTGGGTGGCCGCAAGGGCAGAACCAAGCCGCGCGCGCGGTGACCACCCCGTCCTCCGAGCCTCAGCCCCAGCCCCGCCCTTCCTCCAGAGCTTAAGAAACTCAAAATCAGCGGCCGCGGCCCCGCGGCGCTCCCGCCTCCGGCGTGAACCAATTCACGCCATAGGTCTCTGCCGCCCAGCCCAATAAGCGTCCGCTCCCCGGGCGCCTCCCAACAAACGGTCCTCTGATTGGCTTCCTTTGCGGTGCGTCGCGTTGCCGTAGCAACCAGGCTACCGGGGATGCGGCGGCGGGGCCTCCAAGCCAGAGGCTACCCCAGCCCCTGGGCTCTTCACGAGCCTTGCTCGCTGCCGGCACCATGTCAGTGCGGACGCTACCGCTGCTTTTCTTGAACTTGGGAGGGGAAATGCTTTACATCCTGGACCAACGACTGCGAGCTCAGAACATCCCCGGAGACAAGGCCCGAAAAGGTGAGAGGCGCCCGGCCCGCACAGCCAGCCCCATGCCCCGCAGCCCGGCCCCCTCACCGCCACTCAGCCCCAACAGCCAGACCTGCGCAGCCAGGCCCCTACACAGACTGACCACCAGCCTAGCACCATGCTTTCTTATAGCCAGGGACTGTTGTCACAACGCCACGGCCACCTAGGCAGAGCCCCTCAGGAGTCAGATTCCCCAAAAGGTCTTTTCACAGCACAGGGGTGGATTAGGGTACGTGACCCGAATTTCCTCATCCCTTTAAATTGAGAGATCAATCAAAAGAGAGATCCCCCATCTCTCTTGACATCCGGTCCCTCCCAAATGTAGAAGTCCCAGCTGCCCACCACTTAGAGACTTACTGCTAATCTAAGCATCCTCTTTCACCGCCTGGGAAACAGGTTTTGGTGCTCCTTTCCTCTGCACAGTACCTTCCTACACAAGCTGGAGACCATTCTTGCTAATTTCACAAGTTATTTCTGTGAGGTTCTGAAGTAACATGGACAAAAAACAAAGTTTTAAATCTTTCCATTCACAATTGTTGGAAAAGAATGCAATTATGGAAACAATTATATGAGAGTTTCTAAAATGCAAAATCTGTCTTCCATATAAACCATATCTTGTCCCCAGAAAAGTGACCATACTGAACTCTCTGCCACTCTTCTCTTCTCCCTCTCTTCCTCTGAAAAGGTGAGAGGCGCCCGGCCCGCACAGCCAGCCCCATGCCCCGCAGCCCGGCCCCCTCACCGCCACTCAGCCCCAACAGCCAGACCTGCGCAGCCAGGCCCCTACACAGACTGACCACCAGCCTAGCACCATGCTTTCTTATAGCCAGGGACTGTTGTCACAACGCCACGGCCACCTAGGCAGAGCCCCTCAGGAGTCAGATTCCCCAAAAGGTCTTTTCACAGCACAGGGGTGGATTAGGGTACGTGACCCGAATTTCCTCATCCCTTTAAATTGAGAGATCAATCAAAAGAGAGATCCCCCATCTCTCTTGACATCCGGTCCCTCCCAAATGTAGAAGTCCCAGCTGCCCACCACTTAGAGACTTACTGCTAATCTAAGCATCCTCTTTCACCGCCTGGGAAACAGGTTTTGGTGCTCCTTTCCTCTGCACAGTACCTTCCTACACAAGCTGGAGACCATTCTTGCTAATTTCACAAGTTATTTCTGTGAGGTTCTGAAGTAACATGGACAAAACAAAGTTTTAAATCTTTCCATTCACAATTGTTGGAAAAGAATGCAATTATGGAAACAATTATATGAGAGTTTCTAAAATGCAAAATCTGTCTTCCATATAAACCATATCTTGTCCCCAGAAAAGTGACCATACTGAACTCTCTGCCACTCTTCTCTTCTCCCTCTCTTCCTCCCTTCTCAACCAACAACTGTTTTCACCAAGTTTTCTGGGTTAAGTATGAAGGAGGAATTTTATTTCAAAATAGAAGAAGAAAAGTTGATGTAAAGGTAACTGACCTGGCTACTGATTAAAACATTTATTCAATTGATGTTAAACATACATATTCAGATATTCACTATTGTGTCTATGCAGTTGAGTCAAGTCCATGGGTAAAGAGATAAAAGAACTCCCTATAGCACACCGCCTCCACTCATTTGTACACTACCACAAGTGAGCTTTCCAAAAGGCCATCTGTCCATACTCTCCACTACACTTAAAACCCTTTGTCAGCTTTGCACTGCTATGGGATAGCAGGCAAGTCCTGGGCAGGACATTTCAGGGCACTTCCTGATCTGATCTCTGTCCACCTCTGCAGTCCCACCTTCCACCACTGTCTGCCTCCTACCTGTGTCCTAGTAATACCAAACTACTCATAGCTCTCCAATGAAAGCATATTCATTCATGTTTCCATGCTAATAATCCCCATTCTACCCCAAACCTCCCATTTCCATGGTAGTAACTTTCCATCCTACATTATTCACCTTAAGAATCATCTTCAGGAAGCCTCCCCACATGGGGAAAGGCCTGAAAATACCCAGAGAACCCTACATGTGTGCTCTCTACCTTATTACTGGCCATATTACACTGAAATGTTTATGTCTTTGTCTGTCTACCCCACCCCCATTAATTGTCTTTTTCATCTTTGTACTCCAGCACCTAGCACAATGCCTAGAACAGAATAAATTGTTGCTCAGTAAATGTTTGTTGAACTGATTATCTAAATTGGCTGTTTTATATGACATTGCCATTTCTTCCTCAGGAGGGTTCTGTTTTCCTCGCCACCTATGTTTTTTTGTGGTTTCTTTCGGGCTAATGGCACCAGCAAGCTGAGTGGAAGGCAGGGAGTTCTTGGACTGGCAGCCTTGGACTAGTAGGATGAAAGGCAGTGTAAATTAGCAACAAAGAACATACTCTCTGGAGTCATATAGATGTGAGTCTCAATTCCAGCTTTGACATTTAACTAGTTGTATGACCTTGGAGTGTAAACTCTATAAGCCTATTTCTTTTTCCATAAGAAGGGAATAATAATACATACCTTATATCAAAACTGTGAGGACTGAATGAGATAATGTAGTTAACATGTTAAGCACAATAAGCAGCAGGTGTCATCCTTCAAGAGGAAGTGTGGGCAGGACCCTGTGAGTGCTGGGGAGCTGGCTTCCTTTGTCGTCAGGGGCTGTAGTCCTGGGTCGGCTAGATCCAGCTGTAGGGAGTTTCAGCCATCCTCATCAATTCCCATTCACACACTCATTCCTACCACAGTTTTGGTGAGTGTCAGATGCCACATGAGATGCTGGGTGGAGACCGATCCAGCCCTCTGTGCATTCACTGGAGGCAGAACTTTTGATCAGTCTGATGCAATAACTGATTCTAAAACTGGGAGTATATCTCCTTATATGACAAGAAAAGACATTTATCAAGCACTTTCCATGTACCAAGGAATTCTCTGAACACCTTAATCCCCACAATTATCCTACCATGAAGGTAAGACTACTATCCCCATTTTACAGATAGGGAAGCTAAAGCTAATTTGCCCCAGGTTACACAGATGGCAAAAAGGGAATAAAGGATTTGAACCAGGTCTTTGGGCTCCAGAGCTCTTACTCTTAACTACTGCACTGTACTTCCATACCTCAGGGGACCATAGCAGAATCTTGGGGGAGTTGGAAGGTTGGGATGATAGGGACTATCCAGTCTACCCACTAATTTTATAAAAGAAATAACAGAAAGGAGTTGGCAGCTGGAGGAATGTAAACAAAAGACTTTTTGTAGAAGATAGAGTGAGAAAGCCAAGTTGAGAGTGTGGGATTGAAACTGTGAGACATACTCATGCGGTCCACCATTTAGAGTTGGTGAAGCTGCAGGCACAGGAGCCACTCTGACAAATGCCTGTGCAGAGGTCTATAAAACCCCGCAGTAAGCTAGTCCTCATGGACGCTTTGAATGGAAATCGTGTTCCTTCTCGATGTTTTCATTATCTCACACAACTAATTGGTCTCCTGGAGACTATCCCGCTCCCATACAGCCAATGCGATATTGCAGTTTCCCCCACAGCGCAGCTTCTGGTTTAGTGTTCAACAGAAAGGAAGCGCGCTCTCTATGGGGCAACCTCTGAGTGTTGCATATTCAATGTTGTCCCACATTTTAAGCAATAGCAAAAATAATAAAAGCTGCCTTTGCTTCACTCCTGTCCTCTTAAAAATACCCCTATCACATAAGGCCCTATCACATTTTATTTACATTCCTTGTTTTACATAAGGGGAAACTGAGGCATAGAGCCATATTAAGTGATTTTTTTCCAAAATGTACAGATCACGGTGTAGTACTGAGCAACCAAATGATGGTGAGTTTGTGTTTATGTTTCTAGTTCCAATTTAACAAGCAGCTCTGGAGAGCCTCGGGCTGGCCTCCCACTCAAAATGTAACTCAAGTGGAATTGTCACAAACAAGTCATCTGGAGAAATAACAGAAAAACAGGGCCTCTTTTACCTTCCCCTGGGTCTGAGCTAAGGAGAAAAGGAGCCCAGAGCACCCAACATTACAGAGACCACTGCTGGAGCCCAGCGTCAGTGCCCGTGGGAGTGCCTTCCACCCAGGATCTAGCCATTTTGTCAGCAGCAGGCTGTCACTGTCCCTGAGAATAGGTGAGACCCTTGCAGCACCACTGTTCCCAAACACACCCTCAAGAGGGTGGCAACTCCACCCCTCTGAATTCCTACGAGCCTATCAGGGAAGACCACCTGTGAAATAAATGACAAGAAAGGTAGGATTTGGGGTCATTGTTGGCAAAGAAGCTAATATCTGCTTTAAGAAGGCCAGATGCTTGGTGCTGCTCCCCAGTGTTTTCTCTCCAAAAGCCTGTGACTCCGAGTGTAGGAGAAAGATGGTGGATTTGCCAGAGAAGTCTGAGCTTGCAACGGGAAGCCTTTGAAGCTGGTTAGGGCCTGGCACTGGCTATGCGTTCAGGCTGGTCTCTTAGGAGCTGTTGGTATTGTGTATTGAAGGCACATACGTGACTCTGAGTATACCTTGAGTATATTATACTTCAGAAATCACCTGTGAGACAATCCAGCACAAATGTTTCCCAAAGAGACTATTAATTAATTACAAAGTGTTTTGAAAACATGGATGGGTGTAGAATTCTGTTTACCTGGGGTAGTTTTTCTAGATTGAAACGTCCTAAAAAAAAATTAAGGGAACCAAAACGTCCTCTTTCATCCTTGATGGATGGTGTCCCACGTTCTGCAGTAGAGAAAACAACTAGAAGAGAAGCCAGCTAAGTGCTTTATGTGTGTTATCCATTTCATCTCCACACAACCCTGTGAGGTAGATGCAGTTATCCCCATTTTACAGATGAAACTGAGGTTAAACAAGTTGCTTGAAGTTACATGGCTGATAAGTGGTAGAGCCAGGTCTCAACCCAGAAAGGGTCTTGATTCTCACAATTTCCCTATCAAGTATATTTTTCCCTTATTTGGTCTCCTTTGGCATCTGTCTCTCTGCCTGCCTTAGTCCTCAGGAGCATTCTTTACCAATGGGGCTTTCTTTACAGTGGTTGTATTATTCCCTCTTTTTACATGGAAGTCATGTATCTACATATAAAAAGTAAATCAGACACAAATAGACATTTATTTCTTTTAACTCACATTCCAAATTTTCTAATTTGAGCAGTTCCATCTATCCTCTAGAAACAGAAATCTTACATTAATTAAAAAATCAGGTTATAACAAAATAAAACCCTATCTCTTCTTGTTCTTGGAATAAACTGCCTCACAAAAGTTAGTGTTTTTAGAAGCCTTCTTTTGAATGATGTTAATTCTCATAGTTTTAGAGAGGATGACTTCTTGAGCCTTTCAAGGTAAGCCCCAGGCAGTTAGTCCTGTGCTTCCTCTCCTCCTAGACCATCCTCTGTAAGATAAAGCCTATCTAGGGCATTTTTGGAACTTGTTATTTATCCATCATCCTTTTAAAAGTTTCAAATGGAAGAGTATTTGCATTAGACATTAAAGCAAACATGAAAAATAAAGTTTCCTAAGCCAGCTAATTGGAATTGGTATTTCTAAACCCTCCTTGAAAATGTTCTTGCTTTATGAACTGGTGTTTTCTTTTTATATGCTTCATGTAGATGAATGGACAGAGGTGGACAGAAAACGAGGTATGCTATTTCTGGGCTGCATGTATTCAGTCTGCATCCACAGGTTCACTCAGTTCTCTGCCCCAATCAATGGGGCTTACAGTGGGAGCACTCTAAACATTTCAGAGCAAAAATATAGGCATGAGTTTCTCTTTAGCCAAGATATGCATTTGAATCTTTTACTTAAATAAATAAAGCATGTAAGATGAAAACCAAGCATACTGGTCAGAAGACCGTATTGTAACTGAAGTATTTGTCTCTTTTCATCAAGTCCAAGTTTGCAGGGCCAGTGGGGGCAGTAGCTACACTTCTGGGTGGGTTACCTTATTTGGTAGTCCTTAAAACAATTCTGTGATAATATTATGTAGCCAAAGAATTGTGCCTCCCTGAATCATTCTCCTTAGCACACAGAGGAGATACTTGTTGAGCAACCAAGAAAAATGGAAGCATGTGCCTGCATGGCTGCCAGGATTGTGGACAGAAGGCATGACATCATGCATGCACTATGGCCTTATGGCAAATCTGGAGTTTCCTCTTCACCTGCAAATAGCTGCAAACCTGAAAAAGTTGCTGATTCCTCAGAATAAAACCTTAGCCTTTCTCACCTGTAAATGTCATGAATACCTTCCATCATTTGACATTTGGGTGCAGTTTATGCATGTCATCAGCCATTATCCTTAACATTTTAAATGCTCTCACCATACCAAGTATGCTGAGGAGATAACATATAATATTCAAGAGCACGAGCATTAGAATCAATCCCATTCTAATTTCAACTCCACCACCAGGTGTGTAAACTAGGACTTTAACCTAAGACCCAGTTTTCCTTATTGATAGAGTAAGGAAAATAATTCAGAGTTGTCTTGGGGTTTAAATGAGATAATTCATGGAAAGTTCTAAGCCCAGGGCCTGAAACATAATGAAGATTGAAAATATGGTAACTATCCAGAAGTAATAACTTCTTTTAACCCTAGTTTCCAAATTTCCTAGTTTTCAAATTCTATTGAAATGAAGTGCTTGATACACTTTTATTATATTTCACAACCATCTTTTACCATTTCTCTTGAGCAATTTTTGACCCACCTCTGGAAGCATGGCAGAATTTCAGGCAAGAAGGCTTTTTGTATATGTAATTGAATCACTGGAATTTATTTTAATCAAAAATAATGAACAGGAACAGACTTCATGATCTGAACCCAGGATTAGAAGACTAATATGTTAAGAACTCAGTTACTAATCCTTCTGATGCATCTATGAAGTATCGCTTCCCTCCCTGACTTTAGACTCTTTCTGATGAAATTGGCTCCTAGTAAATTCGTGCCTCACTAAATTATGCAAAACTTGTGTGGATGCCAAAAATTAACACCAGACATACTGACAGGTCTGGTTAAAACTGTTTTCAGGTTTAACTTAAATGCAACGTGGGCTGCTTCTCTAGGGCAAGGACATTTCCTCCTTCTTTGTGCTCTGGTGTCTGTCTGTGTCTCATACAGAGTGGGCCCACCTCAACCAAGTGCTAGGTGAAGCACATTGTGAGATGTAAGCATGTCGATATGTGCCTCAGATTCCCAGAGAATTAAGTAAGAGGTGGGAGCCTGGCTGCTGGGGCCCAACCACAAAACTGCCATTTCCTCTTGAGGCCATTTGTGTTCACTGCTCTGCCCACAGAGGCAGGCCTGCTGTACTCTTTTTCCAGCAGGTGAACTTTCTGGACGTTCTTGTGCAAGGAGCCATGGAGATGTATAGCTTGTTCACTTCCCAGGAGGAAAGGCTTCATTTTGCTTTTGCTTTGCCAGAATGACTAACAATCACCTTGGGATTTTCTTTTTTAGAACTGATTTATTTGGGTCTAAGCTATTTTTCTAGATCCTGTAAGGGCTCAAAGACCCCAGAGAAATGACTCAGCATCTAGGTGAATGGTAGCTATTTGTAAGTGTTCATATAACCAGACCTGATGTGATTCTTTAACTTAAATTCTTCTTTGGCACTCCTGCCTAGCTTACATAAATCCTAGGAAAATCCTTCAAATTCTTTTTTGAGGATTTACATGTGGGGTTTTTTTCAGTTGTACCTATTTCCTTGCAAATTCTGCATTTTATATTGGCTGTGGTAAGAAAAATGTTAGAAAACCCAGTTTATTGCAGGTCTTTGCTTGTTTAGGTCAAAGTCAAAAGGCCATGCAAACCAGGAGAGTGAAATGTCTCCCAGCTGTACACGTTGGGGAAACATTGGTGCACGTAAAGGGCAAGCCACAATGGGTTGAAATTATCAGATGTGAGGGATGTGCTCTGTTGGCAAATGATTTGGTATTTCCTCACCAATAGGGTGGCGTCTAGAGTAAAATCCAAAGGTCAGGTGTAAGTCCAACACTTCTGTAAGGAGTCAGTCAGTTCTTTTGTATCAATGTGGTGGGTGAAGAGGGGCGCTCTCCTGGATCTCCTGCCCGTCCCCTCTCTCTGTAGCCTTTCCATTTAAGATTTAAATACAACCAGCCCTCAGCTCCTTCTTCTCCCAAAAAAGGCTCTTTGAGATGCTTTAAGATGCTGGCCTGAGCCCTCAGGTCCTTCTATCATTACTTAAAGGCAGAGAGAGTGCCTGAAATCACGTCTTCAGGGCCATACCTTGCCTTCGCTCTCTAAGATACTTGGCCACAGCCAGTCACGGGGGTGTCCTTTATGTGGCAAGAGGAAGAGGTATTTGTGTCCTTCAGTAATAGTCACTCATGTTTAATAATTGATTTTGTATCATTTTAAGTAACCGGTTTTCTTTCAAATTTTAATTACCGTGAATGTATATTCTCATCATCCACATACTCTCACCCTTAGGCCAGAATATATCTAGTTTAATTAAGAATAGACTGTGTTCATTTATACCTGTTCCTATTTCTTGTACCAGGGGGCTTTCTTAGCCCTTGCCTAATGTTATTTGGGTTGCAGAAAATATCTAAGTGATTGAGTGAGTGAACAATTAGAATTATAGATACTTTGGTATGTACACACCTTAGGATCTTTTATTCTCACCAGGTGGAAATTTTCCACTTGAACTCAGTGTGAGACATATCACTACAATGTAATATCAATATTATAGACCAAATGTAGAAATTAAGGCATTCTAAAATGGTTCTGATGTGAAGTACACATCTTGAAAAAACAATAAAAATATTTTAATCTCTAACCAGTGGGTAGATATGTCTATTTCATAAAATGTTTTCCCCCAAAAAAATGTCAGTTACCATTATTGGTCTCATTTTTATAAAACATAATTTTCAGTAAAAATGTTACAGATTTGCTAAACATAGGAAAAAAAGAGCATTGCTGTTTCTCATTTTAAGAAAGAGCTCTACTCTAAAATTCTTAGAATAATCTTTTTTAAAGAATAAACGTTTCTCCTATCAAGTGAGACAATGGACGTAAAGTGGTTTGTAACCTCTGAAGCACAACACATTTGTACACTGCCACGTCTACGTTTGCTCTGAGATGGTCCTATAAAGCACTCTGGACCTGCTTCTAGGACACCATGTGGTTTCTCCGCAGGAAGCAGATCTCACCGAGCATATCAGCACCCCACTGTGCATCAGCCCAGCAACTCCATTGCATTCTCACAACAGCGAGCATTTCCTGAACAAAGCTTCCTCCAGTACCTGGCTCAGCTGTGTTCTGTCTTGTCTCTACAGTTCTAAATGACATCATCTCAACCATGTTCAATCGAAAGTTTATGGAGGAATTGTTCAAACCCCAAGAGCTCTACTCCAAGAAGGCCCTGAGGACTGTCTATGACCGCCTGGCTCATGCCTCCATTATGAGACTGAACCAGGCCAGTATGGATAAGGTAAGCAGACAGCCACCTCTGTCCCCTGGGTTGCATTTCTTGTACCTTTTGTGGATGGTCATGCAATGAGAGGATGTATGCAATGGTGCCTTGCAAAAAAAAGGTAGTTGTTACTGTGTTGCAGAGTGAACCTCAGAAGTCATCCACACCAATTCTTCCGTTGTTTATGTCATTCCCTCTGCCCAAGGAGAGTGCTGATTTTCATGCCCACATCTAGGAACACTGGAAACACATGCACCTTAGCCCAGTACAAGCATCCAACCCTAAAAACTTTAATTCAGCATCATTCTCAACAGATCTCAGCTCTGCAGTGAGGAAACCAGGCTTTTTTTTTTTTAGCAAATTCAAAACTGCTACTTCTTCATTTGTAACATGAACATATCTTATTTCTTTGGGAAACAAATTATTAGGGCACTCTGATTTTTAAAATAATAATTCCGGATAAATAGATGGCAAAGAATAGACAAATCTCCCAATCAGAAAAAGTCCAAGTAATTTATATAAATGCTCTGCCCTTAAGAAAGGAAAGCATAACTCCCCATTCCTTGTGTCGTGGGCTGCACTTACTGAATTCCTTCCAAAGAGGACAGTATGTAAAGGGCAAAGAACAGTTAACTTTAGAGTGGAGAAACTGACAAACACTACCTCAACCAGGATGATCAAGGTCAACATCAACATGATAAGTCATGTTGGTAGTATGTACCCCAATAGGATGCGGTGAGGATAGCACTGGATCTCTGTGCTCTTCCTCTTGAAAACCCACAACCGTGGTCTAATCATGAGAAAAAAACATCAGCACATATGGAGGTCATGCTACAAAATACCTGACCAGTACTCAAAACTGTCAGGGCCACCAAAACAAGGTAAGTCAGAAAAACTGTCAGCCAAGAAGAGCTCAGGAGACATGATGACTAAATGTCATGTAGGATCCTAGCACAGAAATAGGACAGTAGGGAAAAACTAATAAAATATGAACTTCAGTTTTTTTAAAGCAACAAATTCCTCCACTATGTGAATTTTTACAAATCATGAGAACTGACATTGGGTGCTAGGTGTGCAAACTCAATGCCCACTTATTGCTGGTACCTGGAAACCTCAGGTAGACAGACTGTCTGTAACTTGGCCTGTTGCCTCCTGCCACTTATTTCTGCAAAGTTACTTTATCTCCCTGAGCCTCCACCTCCATTTTCTCCTCTATAAAATGGCTACTTCATCATGCTAGCAGGAATAAGTGAGAAACATATACAGAATGATATACCTAGGCCTGGCACATAGTAGATGTTCAATTAATGTTATTATCTGCTCTGCCTCTTCTCCCTCTATCTTTAAGAAGACTTAGGTTTCCATAGAGAAAGGACACAGAATTTGTAATCAAAAAAACTAGATTCAAGTCTTAGCTCTACCAGTTACTAACTGTGAGACTCATTTTACTGAATAACTCTGAAATTTCATCTCTTCATCTTATAATTTTTATCCTTTATTCCTAGCATGGTATCCTATACACAAAAGGTAGTTAATGTTTGATAATGATGGCAGAGAGTCTCAAATCTATCTCTTGTACTATATGCCTCCTCCTTCTCCTGCACACACATACACACACACTCCACTGTTCCTGTGGCATGCCACTTTCTAAGTGAAATATTTCTAGCTGCATGTTAAAGAAATGGAATCATTTAGAAAATTCTAGCAAGTTCCTTAGGATCTAACCATCCTGAGTTCAAACCTTATCCTGCCACTTATCACCAGCTATATGAAATTAGGCGAGTTTCTTCATTTTTAAACTTGAGATAGTATCTACCTCACAAAGTTCTTATAAAGATTAAATGGGATCAGATGAGGTAATGTATATGAATGTGCTTGGCACAACACTCAGATGGTACCAGTTTATATTTTCAACCCTGCCCCAGACGTGTCCATAACTTCTCTCCCAAACTGGCTCCTTCTGTCCCCCGCTCCTGCCTCATCAGAGCATCATCTTCTCTTAGGCACTAGGTTGAAAAAGCAATAGTCATTCTGGAGACCCTTATCTTTATCCCCCAAATATCTGGTCAGGTAGTCACCATATACGGACAGCTTTTCCTTCTAAATATCACATGTTCTTCTTTTCCCTGCTTTTTTCATTCCTACTGTCTTTATTCCAGCTCTTAAGTCTGGATTCCTCCAATAAAATTTCTTTCATTCATACAATCAATAGATATCGTTGCAGCCTCGGGAGGAGCCAGGTCCTGGCCAATCTCCATGACTCTAACTCCAGTCTTTCCCATCTCTTACATCTCATCGTTGCCAGGCTGACTGTCTTGCTTAATTACTGCTTTTATCCCATCAGCTCAGAAAACATCAGTAGGGCCCTAATTCCTACCATATCAAGTCTAAATCATTTTGCCTGTCTTTCTAAGACCTTTAATATTCTCAACTTGCCATGCTTATCCAAGTTTATTTCCCACCACCCCAACATGAACTGTTCTCTCTAGTCAGGCTGTTTTTCTTATCCTCCTAGGAAAATAGCATACTCATTGCTGCCTCCATGCATGCTGTTCCCCTCGGCTAGAACACCTTTCCCCTCCCTCAGCCAATTTGAACCCTATGACTGCCTTCTTTTTCTTCCACAAAGCCTGTCTTGACCACTTTGACCCTCACCAATTTCTCACCTCTGATCACTCACAGTCAGGCTATACATGAAGCTTGTGGATATTTTGCTCATCACTTAAAATTGTTCTTATTCAGTTGTAGAACTTTAGACCTGCCTCTTTCACCTATGCCATCTCATTTACTCCTTTCAGCAGTTCTACAACTATAGGAAATTAGGAATTATTTTTTACAGATGAAAAAACTCAGGCTCAGAGAGGCAAAGAGGCTTGGCCAGGGCCATCCAGCAAGTCAGGAGCAATGAAGGGCTTGAATTCAGGTTTTTGTTCCCCAAGTCCAGGACCTGATCCAAGACTCTAAAGCTGCTGATATTGTTTCAAACTGACTCCATCAACAATAGGCATAAGCTGGCCAGAAATCCTGGTTTGCCCAGGAATGTCCTGGTTTACTCCTGCTATCCTGGCGTAATTATTAAATCACCCCCCTTTTACTCTCAAAAGTGTCTCATTTTGAGTGATAACTGACATAGTCTCCCAAGCTGTATGAAATGCCCAGAACTAGTTTTCAGTAAATGCTTGACTGAGTCGTTGTTTGGAGGTTCTGACGTTTGCTTTTATGATCCTATTTATTTTGCTCATGCATGGGTTGGCAGCTATATGACCTGATGACTATGGCTTTCAAATATCAAGTATTGCTGTGTCCCCGTCCCAAGGATGTGTTGCTGGTCACTTTCAATCACTTAGATGCCATCAAGGGATTCATCCGAGACTCCCCAACCATCCTGCATCAAGTGGATGAGACTTTCCGGCAGCTGACTGAAGTAAGAGTGTCATCAGTTCATCACCTCCCAGCTCCAGTGAACCTCTCCTTCCTGTGTTAATAATACGCAGAGTCTGTGACAGAAAGAACAGATGGGGAATGGCAAAGCCTGCCGCTCTCCCAGGAAATTCTAAAAATCTACAAGTATTACATTTTGGTAATATAATGGATGTTATCATCTATGCCCTCTTACTGTTGCCTTCAAAATTGGGGAAGCAGTGATACAGAACATAGCCATTTCTCCTAGCTTTTCTGAAAGGGAGTTGATAGTGGATGTTCTGCTAAATCTTGGGGAACGGGAGAGGCAAAGTGTGGCCCTCTCAGGTGCGGCATAGTGAAGTTTGTTCCTCTAGTGAGGGGACGAAGCTGGCTCTCCTGCTGCCCATCTGCCCCAACAACTGAGCCCCCTCCCTGCTTATCTGGTGCCCACCTCGGAGCATCTGCACTTCTCAGGTCGATTCTGAAAGTGAAGTGCTTCTTTCTGCTTTGCCTCTGGCAGACATACGGAGGTCTCTCTGCAGGGGAGTTCCAGCTGATCCGGCAGACACTTCTCATCTTCTTCCAGGACCTGCACATCCGGGTGAGTGAGTGGGTGACCCTCGGACCTCCCACCACTGTTAACCTGGGGAAACAGGGTGCTAAGTGGTCAAGCACACAAGGGCTGAGATTGTCCAGGTAGTCATGTCCTCAGTGTTTGGCTCCATGATGATAAACATTCTGATGCCAAATCTCAGCAGTTTTAAATGGACCAAGGAAGACAATGATACTGCCATTCCTCCTAGTTATCTAATGTGTTTCTTTAAATATGGTTTTGACTGCCCTCTCTCTCTTTGTCTCTGCCTCTCTGTCCCCCTGCTCTCTCTGCTCTCTCTCTGCTCTCTCTCTGTCTCTCTGTCCTCTCTGTCTCTCTGTCTCGCTGTCCCGCTGCTCCCTCTCTCTCTCTCCCCCCCCCACCCAGGGGCAGCCACTTTCTCTTTCAGATAAAAAATCTCTTGCATGGGGAAAATATAAATGGTTTCTTCCCTTCTCTCCAGAGAAAATGTGCACTCAAGGCTACCAGCCTGACCTCACTTACAAAGCCTTTCCTCAAACCTCTAGGATCCTTGGCCTCTCCAGTATCTGATGCTGTCAGGAGGCCACCCTCTCTCCATGGAACTCTTGCCTCCCTGGGACTTCCATGGCACCACACCATCCTGGCCTTCCCTTCCGCCTCCCATCTCTATGCCTTTCACTCCTTCTTCTCCCTCCTATCTTCAAGCCTCCTTCTTCTGCCTCTGCCCACCCCTGCTCTTTAGGAATCTCTTTCCTCCCTCTTCCTAACTCTGTCAAGTAGGACTCCTGAGTCTAACCTCTACCCTACCCTTGGTCAGGCCCACCGATACAGACCTACTCCCACCTGCTTGCTGAATCTCTCTATGAGGATGCCCACCAGTGCCTACGACTTCATGTCTGTAGCTAATTCAGTCTCCAAAATCCAAGTCCTGTCCCAACTTCCTGATTTGTTTTGAGGGCACCACCATTCCTTCTCACTTGACTCAGAACCAGAGCATCACCTTTGACTCCCCTTCTCTGATCTTCATCTGACTGCTTCTAAGGCTTATAGAGTCTGCCATTTCAATATCCGTGACCTCCTTTCCATTCCTGTTGCCAGCAGCCTAGCTCAGGCCCTCATACTCTTGTTGACTATTGCCTCCCAATTGACCCTGCCTCCTCCTGTCATGCCTACAATTCTACACCCTAGCTTTTAAAAAGATATTTTGAGCTTCTGAATTTGGGGCCTGTCCCTCCTGGATAGGACTTTGTTCCTTCCCATAATTTAACACACCGATATGAGAAAATGGATGATATGGCAAAATGAGCCCTGGCTCTGGAGTCAGACACTCCCAAATCCAGCACAGATCCACAACCTTGAGCAAATTACTTCTCTTGAGCCTTATTTCTTCATCTGAAAAATGGAGATGGAAATCCTAACTGAGAGTTTGTTGGGAGGATGAACTGATGCAGCCTATGTAATGTGCATGCGTTGGCTTGTATATGGGTAGTGCAGAGTGCCTCTAGAAGGATGGACAAGAACCTGGCCGCAGGGGTTGCCTCCTGGGAGCAGGGAACTGCATGGAGGATGGCTATAGGAGAGACACTTACGTTCCATCACATACCCTTTAAACCTTTTGAATTCTGCACCTATGCATGTGTAACATATTCACAAAATAAAATTCAGAAAAAAAAGAAATAAAATATGTTTAGTGCCTCATTGTGATTTCCCTTCAATGGACCAGGGAAGACAAATAGATTTCCACTTCGAGGCCAATTTTATTTTTAAGCCTCATGAATAATTTTATTTGATAAGGATGGAGGAATAATAACCCCAATATAAATTAAGATCTCTAATAGCCATTGATTAAAATTAAAAATATGAAAGCACAAATAATATTGTTTTGCATTGCTTTAAAATATTGAAAACTGCATTATTATCAACACTAATGTTGTCAAGACTATGCATATTTGGATATTATTTTATGGATTGGAGTAATATAAGCAGCCATATTGATTTTTCATTTCTGACACAATAAAATTCATTATAATGAAAAAACACTCCTAATAGAAGTCTATAACAAAACATTAAAATATATTTAATCACAAACTATATTACACTTTAATTACTAAATGGGCAGGCAATGAAGCATCAGAACGTTCATCAAGAGAAATAGGAGCCATGTATCCTGACAATATTAAGCCACTGATCTGTAACACATTTGGCTCATCTTCCAAGTCTGGTCTTTGATGGTATTTCTGCTCAGCTGCAATTTGTGATTGCCTATACTGATTTTCTCTGTTTTCAAAATAGTCTTGATAGTTTTTAAACTTGCTATCAAAACCAGCTAACTAAATTAAGAAAATACAGCTCTGACCTAACACTCCCTTGCTCACTGTTTAACCAAAGTAAATACAAAACTCCTCATCCTAATATCCAAAGCTTTCTGTGATATCACAAAACGACCTGAAGTGGTGTTAATGTCAAGGCTCCA